TAGAGGTCCCTCGGAAACTAACGACAACCGCGGGTGAGAACAGAGGCAGAGGTGTGGATACATTCTGTGGATACTTTGTGGATGACTTGTGGACACATTTGTGGACACTTTTTGTGGACTTTGTGGACACTTCTGTGGACACTTCTATGGATACTTCTTTCTCACTTCTGTGGATACTAATGGCTGCGCCCATTGTTGCCACCGAGCCGCGCCAAACACTGCAACCAAAACCGCTACTCTCTTATGCTGGCCTCTAACCCTCACCAGAGATCGTCGTTCTGGAAGCTGATTCAAAATCTGATTCAAAATCGAAAAGGGTGTCAAGCGTTTGTCGATGTTTCGTTTTTGGACCGAGGCCGTACGCTTGACACCCTTAAGAGAGAGGACTCTACCACCACCACCACCCCAAAAGTTCATCAGCGTCTGTCAGCCGGCCATGGTGGTCTTGCATCATTTTGATACTTTTGTTTCTATTAATTTCGAACGTGCGAAGCTGCATTGCTCCGTCAGTGTCGCGTCCAGTGCCGCGCAAAAACACGTGAAACTCTCATGAATCCATTGAAATCCCTGTGCCGACCACTAAACACTGTTCAGCACATAGTGGCTGTTTTGTTGTTTTCTGCGAGGTAGAGGGGAAACAGCATGGAGCTGTTCGAAAGAGTGAAACGATTTGACAGAACTTTGCCAAACATTCGGGAATTGATGAGCGGGTCAAAGCAACGGTTTGGAACAACCACATTTTGGGTCAAGTCGAGGCACGGACAAGTCCGCATGGTTTCAGGTGTGTTGTCTAACATTTTAGAATCGGTTTTTTTGTGATACGGTTTGTTGTTTGTTTTGTGCTTGTTGGTCAAGTTTTCGGAGATTGCACGTGCAAATGCGAACGTGAGTTCTTGCAGTTTGACTTAAGTTTCAGATTTCAACGCTAGTTTTTCAGCGGATTGGAAACATACAAAGCAACGTTGCCACAAAGCATGCTGGCACCATGGAAATCATCGAAGTAGCTTTTTTGTTGTGCAACCTCTTTACCGCCGTTTACCCATCGTCCACAGTCGCCAGACATTTTCATTGCTTGCTGATGGAATCTTGTGGCTTGAAGATTCATCTATCGACCATGCGACGTTGGATTTCAAGTTAAATCATTTAGTCTACGCGACCTACAGAAAGCTGGTTGCTTTGCACGCACGTGTGTTTCTTTTGCGAGCCGATGTGCAAAGTGGAGATAGTAGTCTGGATGTGGGTCCGTGATAGCCAGAATTTTTGATTAAGATACCGTTTTTGCATGAAATTGTTGCCATTGCACGGCATGAAGTTTCATGGCTTGGGCATGGACGGAGACGCTAGCCGTGTCGACAGAAGACAGGCTTCAGTGCATGGCGCGATCTCAAACGAGGTTCCATTTCAAAAGTGGTGTTCCGTGGCAGGCCGAAAATTCCTCCGGTGCAATCATTCAAGCCACCTGTCGGCGCGAAGGCTAGACTCATTCCATGTCTGAGCAGGCACTGATGTTTTGGACGCGTTGATTTTGAAGCGGCAGGGTTGTTGCACGATTCAGGTACTGTGTCGAGGCAATTAGCCTGTCTATGGCAGTCCGTGGTACATGCAGCAAGAAAAGACGATGTCTTGGTACAGGAGTTGGACGTTCGTGTCAGGTGCGTGAGGATCCACGACTCCCGCACGATGCGAGCAAACCAGGCTGTGACTGCAACTTTCGAGACATGTAGCAAGGTCGTCGCAAGGTTTCGTTGATGTTGGAGATTGGCGGAAGCGACATGTTATTGATGTGGATCTTGACATTGTCACATCTGTAGCAGGTGGAAGGAACGAAGCAGATCGTTGGGTCAAGAGTCTTGGCACCATTATCCGATCTGATCTGGAAACCGGTCTCGTAGCCGAACTTTTCAATTCTGAAGCATCAAGGTTTGCCGCGGCGGCATTCCAGCAAGCAGGCATTCGCCGCGGAGACGCCGACCAACTTGCCTTCGAGGACCCAGAAATGGTCCGTGTTGGTGGTCCAGAGTCTAGAGATCCCTTTGCCACCCAGTTCAGGAATAGAGGTGTCGGTATAGACAGCGTCGCACAGTCGGTTTGAAGGATGGCCTTGGCAACTTCGACGAAACTCCCGCACGTGTGTTTTTGCCTCAGCACATATATTTGTCTGCTAATCTGTTGAAGCTCAAGGAATGTCTTTTCCAAGGTGGACCGTGCCAACCCGAAAGGTCGTCACTGGCGAAGTTTTTTCAGGGCCCAGGGTGCCTTTTGTTGCTGTTGTTATCTCCTGTGAGCTGTACGTTGCATGGCTGCAGTTCGCAGGTTCACGTGGTGAGATGTCACCATCTACCGAGTTGTTGAACAATTCGTGTCCACGCTCAAGGGAAACGCACCGAAGGCGAGAAGTCTTTGGTGCAACCCGCTGGTTTCAAAATGAAAGTGAAACTGCTCGATTTGGTTTTTGACATACTGTGTGGCAAATCGATTCCACTGCTCCCGCAATAAATCGCGTGAGACATATGGTGGCTGAAGCAGAGACTAAGGTCAATGCTGCCGTCAACTTGTAGATCTGCCCGCACTTGCAATGACGGCCAACGATGACACGAAACTCTCGAAATGTAGAATCATTGGAATTTTTGGTGGAGGGCTCGAGTGACAATGGTATCGCCCACATCGAGGCCAGCACAGAACCTCGCCAATTCGATGCGCCACCGATAACCGGAACGCTCTCGGCATTTCGCACTTTTGTGCATTGGCTCCGAATGAGCACGACTCATTGGAAGCGGAGTTTGTCTGTGAATCAGGTTGATTTCGCAATACGATGGCTTGCATAGAACCGAACAGCGGACCCCGTTCCGGAAAAAGCTGCCGTGATAGCGCAGGCATTCAAGACTTGCTTGGGCCCTCAGCGGCGATTCGGATAGCAGTGGAACGGCTGGCGCGGTCACGGAGAATTTGGTGAGATTGCCATCCGGCTTCTTTGGAAATGAAATACTGACACGAAACAGACAACACAGGTTGAACCCTTGAGGTTGTATTCACAAGTCCATACCCATCCCCTGGACTTGATTTCATCTTTGCTCATTCGTATCATTTGCTAATCTTTGTCATCATGACTGTCATCGCTGCTCGTCAGTTGTGCAATTGGTCAGTCAGTGAGTGACCTGAATGCCCGCGGAGGCGGTCCATTTAGGGCCCAGGTGGTTCACGACAAGCAACAAGTGTTGTCATGATCACCATCGCTTTCATCATCATCGACGTCATCGTCTTTATCATCATCATCATCAGCAGCAGCACCAATGCGTATTATCAACGTGACCCCGATCCATCTGCAACAGGTTGGTCTGACAACGGATCGAAGTAGACGGAGAGAAAGCAAGGTACCGCTCGCGGGGTTTGGTTTGGAGGATTTGCGATATCTCCATATATCTCCCTGCCTCGCAAGACCATCGCCAAGGAATCGCAGCCGTTTTGCCTAGCCACAAAAGACTTGGCAATAAATCGTTGCACACTGCTTGAGCATGAAGATCTAACCTGAGTTGGAGTGTGCTGCCGACCGACTTGCGCAAAATCGCCATAGCACTATGAGGTTCATCGCGACCACAAACATAGAGGTGCAGGGATATCCACGCAACTGCGGGGCGAAGCCCGAGATGCTAGCACGCAAGAGATAGCAGCCCTGTGATCACTGCGTGGGTCAACGCAGGTCATGCGCTGTGCAAGCCCTGGCGAGCAGCGCGTCATCTTTGCCCCGTGTCGTTGCCAATGTGGCGGAAACGAACTCACCAGGAGCTTTAAACATCATTGCTATTCAATTCATTGCCTGAGGCTACCGTTTCGTGATGTCTTGGCCGTGAGATCAGCGGCCTTTGTGGACAGGGCGGCCTGCGACATCTTTTACTCGCTCCGGGTCGTTTCTTCCGATGGCGTCCGTTTGGCATACAAAACCGCCTCTGGATCGGGTTGTCGCTGGTATTCCTGCCAAACATCCGACCAGCCAAGATGGCGCACATATGGCGAAGTCAGAACGGTCCACGATCATGTGACCACACGAGTGTATGGTCGCCAAATCCATCGACTGCCCCTCCACCTCCATGGAGAGTCCTGGGCCAAAGGAAAATTTCGTCACATTCTGGTGCAGGCGGCGCCGCAAAGCGATCTGCGTAGCAGGCGGAGGGAATGTGGTCCCAAGCTGGTGCGCGAGCATACCCGTAATATTCGCCGATGGTCGTCGCGCCGACATGAACATCGATGTCTATCCAGGTCTCTGGCGACCGACACATCGGTGTCGTCGCAAATGGTTTCTACCTCTACGTGAGGCACGGTAGCCCGCGACATCATAGGGTGATCAACGGAAGACAACCCTTGCTTGCCAACCCATCCATGAGCGTGTTGGCATGCCTTCTGACCGTTTGCAGGCTTCTTTGTGCTGAGTCAAGGTTCGTGTCTGTGGTACTCAGACCCACGGACCCGCATTCTTGCTACTGCAGTCTGCAACTGCTTGTGCAATGCCTTGTCGTTCCTGTCGTCTGCATTGAGGTTGATGACTGAATTCCCAAGTTCCATGGCCTTTTGCCATTTGCTACAGAGCACACCCTCAGCCGGCGGGGCGACACCCACATGCCGGGCTATTCGCCACCAAACATGCTCTGTGCGCGCCTGCCGCTGCCACTTGGTGGTCGTTCTGCTTCAGAGCCTGCCAATTGGCATCGATGTGCGGGCCGCCCCGTCCATCGGCGTGGGTCGCAAGGTGGTCCCAGGCCTGGCCCACGCCGCCGCCCGAGGCTCCGTGAGGATCCAACCCTGCCGGCCAGCGAGAGGGTCCCCACTTTTCCAGCTGCAGCCGAGGAGCTGGGCGCCCCTGCGATTGCGACGCCGGCTGGCATACCCGCCGCAGTATGGTCAAGCTTGCATGAGGTGAATCTACAGCGAAGCTACAGCACCCGGTGCCTGCGTTGCAAGACGTCCTCCCTTTCATGTGGGCCACGGCGCAAGTCGCTCTGGTGAGCATCTTGCGCCGCTTGCACAGCGACACGATACAGGATCTGATACAGGCGACTTCGCCGCCACATCGCGCGCGTGGAATCTGCGGGGTCAGGCAGTGGCGAGCACAACTACTAGCCGAGGCACTGGGGTTTGAGCGAGGTGGCTGGACGTGACTGCTGCGCATGCTGTGCGAAGTTCGCGCCAACAACGGCAGGCCCGACACCCCTCGCCCCGCTGTGTTCGCGGAGTTACGCAAGCAACGACGGGCATGCGCAAAGATGAGAACAGGCCAACTGACCCGAGCACGCCATAGCCCGTCCCGGTGCAGCGAGTCCGCCTGACTGCAAGGGCGGTGGCCGCGGCTTTCGTGATATTCGCAGGCGGCACGCCAATCCAGCATGCTCGCTGAACCATTGAAACTTATGCCGCAGGATTAGCAGTGGATTTGGTCATGGAAGCTGCGACACACATGGCGCAAGCGCAAGTTCCCACCGACGTCACTGACTCGCGTGCACTTCGGGACTGACCGCGCTGCGGAAGGGGACCAGGCTTCGCGATATAGCGGAATGCGTTGCATGGCCTCTTGTGGCAACGCAGTCTCGCACTCCTACGCCAAGCGCCGCCAGTCGAACCACATGCGCTGGTGCACGCATTGCTTACGTTGCAACAGCTTGCCTCCGAAGAGGGGCGAAGGCTGCCTGTGCCAGAAACACAGCACGTGCTGGCCGTGCTGGGCCCGGGCCGGCGCAGAGTCAGCTGCCAGCCTTGCACGAGGTGTTGGCACTCGCGCCTGCCGACCCGTCAGCCGGCTTCCGCTGCGCTGACCGTCCGGCCCTTACATGGGACCGCGCAGTAGGAGCAGACTGCGGCAGGACTACGGCAGAGAGGAAAGGTCCGGAAAAAAAACTCCTGCTCGCGCTTGTTGCTGAATCCAACCAATTGCCAAGCAATACCTTGGTATACCTATACTATCCTTTACTGCACTGCCTGATGGCCAGCGTACATGGGGGCGGCGTCTCTGCTACAACAGGTGGCCGCCTCGCGCCGGGACCGCCCGCTCCTGCCCTTCACGGCCTTTAGGACCCGGTAGGGGCATGGCCCTCCGCCCGCTTGCCCAAACCCCGGCCCTCCGTCCGATCTAGCTCTAGCTCCAGCAGCTCCGGTGCGGCTTCCGAAGCAGGACTGGTCCGAGGCCCCGAGAGCCCGGCACCAGCAGTCCCCTCCTCTGCAGCCAGTCGCGCTTCAGTGCTCCGTCCTCGTCAAAGACTAAGCGGAGCATCTCGGCGCTGGGGCCTGGCGCGGCTCCCCTTGCGGGCATGGCGAGGGATGCGAGGGCTGGTGAGCAAAACATTTTGATCGAGTGCGACCGGTGCAGTGGTTGGTAAACTTCCAGCGGCCGTCGCTCTGGGTCTGGGGGCTCTCTCAAGGCGATGTCTATAGTTCGCGGATCACAAGCTTTACCCAAGGCTCCTGACACCATGTTTTTTCAACGCACCTTTTTCCCGGCGTCTGCCAAAGCAAGGTGCTGAGTCCAGGCTGGCGAGGGGTGGCTCGAGGGCGGAAAAAGACAGTAAGGCGGACCGCCACCCCACAACTCAAGTCCGTTGGCAATGACGTCAAAGCGACGCTCGTCCCGCGTGGCAGCATCAACATTCAAATCACGGACGCGGACATTCACGGCTACTGTGGCGCCAGCTTCCCTGCAAATGCGGGCTGCGGCACGCTCGACAGGCCCACCTCTAGCGCGGAGGATGCCAGATCGCGGACAAGCTGCCAGGTGATCACCGACTGGGTCGTGCTGGTGGCCGCAGCTGCGACGGGCACCGGTGAGAGGATGCAGCAGCGTCTCTCAGGCAGGAAAGGGCGTGTGCGAACGCCGGGCCACAGTGCAACAGGGTCGGGAAAGCGTCAACCCAAGATGCCCAATAAGCAGCAACAAGAGCTGAGCGCTGCGCAATCCAAGTCCACCATGGTGCGGCGCAAGCTGGGTTCGGGCGGCGGCGACGGCTGGCAGTCCAATCACTTCGTCGGCCTGGAGAAAAGCACTCACGCAAGACAGTACGGCGGCATCGTGGCCAGCTGCCTACGTTTCGGAGTCCGGAGGCGTGCGGCTTGTCCATGAGCGACGAAATGTTGTGGTCAGAACGTGACACATGCTAAGAATCACAATGCCATACACATCGAGGATCCACGCAGTCGATACCAAACATGCAAACAGCAAAACAAGCAAAAATTTGAAAATGCACATGACTGAAGAGATTGTCTAGTACGGCACTATGCCTCAGGTCACATTTCACATGCGGCAGCTGCGCGCCAGACCACGCCAACAATGCAAGTCGTTGTTGACGTTGAAGTCGGTGACCGGTTTGGCTCCGAGGCGGTGCAGCTCCTGCGCCGGCTCGCCAGGCGCAAGGCCGGCACCGTCACCGCCGCCTCCAGACCGCAGCGATCACGGCCTGGGTCGCACGCTGGTCCGGGCTCCTCGCCGTCGCGGCCCAGCGCGCTTATGCCGCCTCTTTGCTGGAGCTGCCGCCCGCAGAGGCCCTCTGCAACAGACCCGTGCCTGAGCTGCACGAGGTCCTCGCTGACGCGCGCTGGGATTGGCCCCGGCAGCGGCCTCCCCCGCGGTCGCGCCCGCACCTGCAGCCGTAGGCCATGTAGATGCCGACGAAGACCGTTTTTGGCAGCCGTAAGAACGCGAAAACAAACAAAAAAAAACCAATGCTTCGGAAAATGTTCCTTGCCGGGATTTGCTGGGTGCAGGGACATGTCGTCATGTGCAAACGGTGTCTGTCTGCACCTCATGCACAGGAAGTTTCGACCGCGATGTCGGGCAGTTTGTCTGTCAGCGAAATCGTGATGACCACATTGGATGGGCACGACTGGTACGACAATACGCATTGGGGTGTACACATGGCATTGTCTGCCACGGTGAATACGGCCGCAAGATGTCAACAGCTTGGCGTTGCGGGTTATCCTCAGATGCTCGCCAGCGATTTCTTTCCAGTGGGGAGGGGCTGTAGAGACGTGAGCTGTAGTTGCTGTAGATGCCATGTTGCGGCGGAGGTCAACATGATCCAAGTTTCAAACATAACTTTAAAGCCATTTCTTAACAACACCTCCTTCGCAACCGGGGTGGATGCCCCATTCAACCGGATGTCTAACACCAGCGCTAGTCAATGCGCTAGTCAACTCAGATGAGACAGAGGTCAAGGATGTTGGCCTGCAGACCATGCGAGTTGTCCGGCGAAGCAATTCGCAGGCAAGCTCAACAAGCGGCCCCATAACCCAGCTGCTTGAATGAGACGCGTCGTTTCGGCATCATGCCACCCAATCTTGCTTTGAACCGCGAGACTGGGTGGACCGCGTAGCCAAGGTAGGAGACGCCGGCCCCACTGGAGGACACGGGTTTGAAAGCGTATTATCAGCGGGCTTGCCGCAACAAGTTCCAATCCAAAAACCCGCAGAAAGATGCACCTTTGTCTGATGGATGCATTCCACAAATTTTCAGACTGCGTGCCAGAGCAGGGTTGCAGAGGGCAGGGCCGGGTTGCAGGCAGGGGATCGCGCCACAGCTGCGGCAGCATAGGTTGTGGAGTCAGGGTTGTGCTTGGCTCGCTTGGTATGGCTGGAAGCCATGCAGGGTGCATGCGGCCCGACTTGTGAGAAGAGCATGGCTCCGGAATGCTCGGGAGATCGGCCGGCAGGGCCGGCAACAGCATGCGACTGCGATACCATTGGTTGCGAGCCCGTGTCAGGTGACATTTTGTGCCACGCCTTCATTTAGCTTTGGCGGAGTATTTATAGGAGTGGGGCTGCGGTCATGGTTGGTGCCCCAGCCTGCTGGGCGCCAGGTGCCAAGCCCGCCGAAGGGGTACCTGTGCACATTCGCGGCGTGGAGAGCTGCGAGCGCCACGGTGGTGCATATGGCTTCGCGGACCCCCCGTCGTACACATCATCGGCCTTACATCAATTACTTCAGCAGCTTCAAGTAAAATGATTCGCACGAGCTGAGCAGATACCACGCATGGCTGAACATATGCCACGGTTCAGAAGGCAACATGCCGCTTCCCGACAACTGCCCATCGTTATTTGCTTCCCCACACTTGTCTGCGCCTGCCAAAAAGTGTCCGTGGCACGACGGCGCTTACACTCCTGCAACGCATCGCCGACTACGGGCAGCTACGGCGACACAGCCGGAAAAGGGCTGCTGCCACGCTAGTCCTAGCGCGCGTCAGTAAGGACTTGCACAGCTCTGGCGCGGACGTTGTTGCGTGGTAGTTTGTGGCCTCGAAATCGGCGGTTGCTTCGACAGCAAGCACTAGGCACCGCTGCGACAACGTCGTGCTTATGTATGCTTTCGGCCAAGCGCCAGGAATGCGGGTGGCCGCGAGTGCACGCCGATCTGCTTGCATTATTTTGCGGCACACCGCTGGAACTGCCTGTGAGAGCATTACAGCCGCTGTAAGCATGCAGCCTGGCACAATGGGTTCCCGACAAGTTAGCTACTGGCTGGTCTGCTATCGTGTGTAAGTAACCCATGTCCGTGCGGCCAATCGGGCACTGGTCCGGCTTGAGCACGTGTTCGCCAATTTACCTTGCCCTGACCGGCAGGCAGTTCAAAGAGAGTGGGGGTTCGTTTGCATGCAGGGTTGGCTGAAAGCTCAGCCCCGAGGGTCATCATCAACATTTTCTATTCATCGGGGACGAGCACACACAAATTCATAATCCATCCCCTCGTCCCACTTTCGGATCCTGCTCCTCCAACGCCTTCGGCTCCCCCTGCCGCTTGGCCCGCGTGCCTGCTCCTGCCGAGGCCCACTCGATGAGTACGGCGACCACCGCGCTGCTTGTGCCACGTCTGGCATCCTCGCCTCCCGAGCCGTTCCGATCGAGCGGGCCATCGCGCGGGTCTGCCAAAAAGCCGTCGTAATGTTGTTTTGGCGGCCATGAACCTCGATGTGCCCATCCACGACGGCCGGCGCATCGAGGTTGTATGCCACGGCCTCCCGCTCTGGCATGGTGCCCAGCTTGCCGTCGATGCGACGCTGGTTAGCCCCGTTTCTCGGGATGGCAGACCACACCCGGCACAGATACCCAGCCTGGCCTTGCTGTGCGCACAGCTGCCAGGCGCAAGCGCAGGCAAACCTATCCCGAGCTCGACAGCGGCAGGAGGTGCCGCCTGGTCGTCTTTGGGCTTGAAGTTGGCGGCCGCTGGGATGCCGAAACCGCCTCCTTCCTCCGCCTGCTCGCGCGTGCCCGCGCCTCTGCCACGCCGCCTGCGCTCCGCCCAGCTGTTCAGGCAGCCTGGGTTCTCCGGCGGAGCGGCCTCGTCGCTGTTGCTGCGCAAAGGGCGCTTGCAAGCACGTTCCTCGAGCTGCCGCTGCATGCTGAACCGTGTGCTGCCGGACGAGTTCCGGCTCTGCACGAGCTCCTCGCAGACGCCCGTTGGACCAGCGGGCCTCAGCCGAGCCGCGTCCCGGGCCGCCCGTAGCGGCAGAGCAGGATGCAGGGGAGCCGACTGCGGTTGACGGGTGGAAAAAAGTCCGCGCAAAAAAAAGTCTCTGTTCAGCTCTGTTCCATCAAATCGCTTGCTGCCAGGGCATTACACGCGACCGCAATCTGGTTCATGAGGCTGGTTTTCAGAAATGTTTGTGTGCACTGAGCTATTTTGCTTTCCGTAGTTGAGCCAAATGCGCTCGTGGTGGAGGGCACACCGAGCAGGTTTTGGTCGATACGAAGGGCTGTCTGAAAAGCTTTTCGCAATTCGGAGGAAGTGAGACATCGACAAAAGGAAAGAACACATGGTGCCGTGGTGCTGCCAAGTGTGCAGGAGGTGACAGCGTCGCAAAACAAAGAGCGAAATTTAATCCATTGCCCCATCCTTAGCACAGGTGTCATGACACGTGCGTTTGTCCAGGATGCCGTACGCGGAATATGGTATACTGAACCTTGAGACCCAAGGCCGCGAGTACAATCGGAAAGGCTGGACTCAGTCCCGAGCTCGGGACAAAGAGCGCCAGCACCAATTACTCGTGACGACGACGTGATGGATGCAAGCTGTATCGGACGCAAGGCAGCAGCTTTGCCGTGTTGTCCGGGGTATGGATTACACCTACCACGCCAGCCAGGTTTCTGTTGCGAGTGAAGCGGTTGCAGATCATGTTTCACTGACCATGCTATTGCTACCATTCAATTGCCAGGCTAAAGCACAGCCAACGCAAGACAACCGTGGCTCGTTCGGATCAGCGTGAGATATTTGTGGTAGCTGCGGGGTCATGCCGCATATCTCGCGTGGAGTGAGGCGAGCTGGTGTGGGCAGCTAGACAATCGGAGAACTCGAAAGTGCGCCGCGCTCCAAGGTTGCTTCAATGCACATTCTCTGTCTTGCAGGATGGTTGGACGTGTTGTGCAAGGATTGCCATTGCAGTCCTTCGGCGTCGAACGTGCGCTGGTCTGAGTTCTGAGGTAAGAAAGAACTGGAGCAGACATTGCGTCGGAATCCCAGGCAGTTTGGAAGCCGTGTATCCGGGTGAGGTACATGTTGTGGTGTTGTAATGCTCGTATCTAGGAGAAGCGTGCTGCGTGTCGTGCATGTGTTTTCGAAGATCATCGGGCCCTGGAACAACTGGAACAAACGAATAAATCGATTGGATGAATAGGTTAGGGATAGAGATAGATAGATAGGGAGTTGGGTAGATGAATAAATGAATAGATACATAGTTGACTACACACTTATGTTGATATGTGTGTGGCTATGTTCTCTTCTGCGCTATTCTATTTTATTCTGTTCTAGTCTCTTCGGTTCTGTTCATGAATAAATCAGTCCGATTATCACTCGAATGATTTTTTGTGAATCTAAGTTCTTCTACTCGTTTGATATTTTTTTTTTCACGCACCTTTTTGCGTCTGCCAAACGGCCAAAAGGCCAAAAGGGCACCGTCGTCAGCCGGCCAGAAGCGGCGCTCAAGCTGCGTTCACGCTCGGAACGGCAGCATGCT